AAGCTCTGCTCAACTCTGCTTGTAAGAAGCCAGGAAGCACCATTGTTCTTCCTACCAATCAATAAGGCATGTCAAAATAAAGCAGACTGGTGCCCACACTGTCTGACTTGAGGACTTTGATTTTGTGGGGAATTCTAAGAACATTAGGACTGTAGAGAAAAAGAACTGGTTTCAAGGTCAAGAATCTTGGATCCTAATTTTAGCTCTGCCACTTACCATGACATATTCTGCAACTCCCCTGCACCTGTTTTCCCCCTTCTCCAGTAAAGGTTCTTCTAGCTCTAAATCCTCGGCTGTTTGCCATGATAAATTTAAATCAGAAATCAGAGCACTTGATACACTGTAGTGCTCTGACTCATCATGATTTATGACACTTCAGTAAGGCTAAGTACCTGTAATAGAAACGGGCTATGTGCCCACATAGCTCTATGCCTCTGAAGATCCAAAATGGTCAGTGATACAAAGCCAAGTCACTACAAAAGGCTATGACATACTGCAGGTTCAGTGCCGTTTAAGAGTGATCCCACACTGTGCCCACCTCATGTATATTCTCATTTGCTGTGGCTTTGTCCTAGAACTAAACCCAGGTCCTATGTTGTCTGCATAGTTTTCCCAAACGTCTCTAGGTCATAATTCCCATCTCAGTTCCAGTCAAAAACAATCTATTTCCAAAGAAGACTTGCAAATGGCCAACAGACACAAGAAAAGATGTTCAAAATCACTAGTCATTAGGGAAATACAAATCAAAGCCACAATGATATATCACCTTGCATCTGTCAGATGGCTAGTATCAAAAAGACAGGATATGACAAGTGTTGGCAAGGATGCGGAGAAAAAGGAAACCTGTACACTGTTGGTGGGAATGTAAACTGGTGCAACCAGTATGGAAAACAGTATGGAGGTTCCTCAAATCATTAAATACAATCCAGTGATTGCACTACTGGGTATTTACCCAAAGAAAATGAAAACACTAATTTGAAAAGATATGAACACCTCTATGTTTACTGCAGCATTATTTACAATAGCCAATATATGGACGCAACCAAAGTGTCCACCAATGGATGAATGCATAAAGAAGATGTGGTACATATGAATGCAGTGGAACATTACTCAACGATAAAAAAGAATGCGATATTGTCATTTGTGACAACATGGATGGAACTAGAGGGTATTGTGCTAAGTGAAATAAGTCAACGGAGAAAGACAAATACCACACAATTTCACTTATACGTAGAATCTAAAAAACAAAGCAGAACAAACAAACAGACCCATAAACACAAAGAACAAACTGGTAGTTGCGAAAAAGGAGGATGGTGGGGGATGGATGAAGGGGAGTGGGAGGTACAGGCCTCCAGTTCTGGAAACAGTAAGGGATGAAAGGTACAGCACAGGGATATAGTCAATGGTGTTGTAATAATCCTATAGAGCCGGCAGACGGAAACTACACTTCTGAGGAGCCCGGCATTACTTACAGAGTTGTCAAATCACTATGTTGTACATCTAAAACTAATGTAACATTGTGTGTCAACTCTACTTCAGTTAAAGCATAACACATAATCTAGAACTGCAATATCCAATACAGCAGCCACGAGACACATGTGGCTCTTTAATTTTAAACTTCATTAAAATAAAAATTCCATTCCTCAGTGGCAATAACCATATTTCCAGTGCTCACAGCCCCATTTTGCTATTGGTTACCACACTAAACAACACAGATTATAGAACATGTCCATCACTGTGGAAAGTTCTATTGAACAGCACGGAATTATGAGTTTCCCAATGCCATTAAGAGTATATATGTTCTTCCACATAAACCAGGGAGGTACATCTATACAGCTTAAGCTACCCCTTCAAACCCTACGAGAATACTTGATGGGTACAGGACAACAAAGTTGGCACGAGCTGCCTGGCAGTTGATGAAGTTTACTTGCCATTTACAACACCTTTGAGCACGGGGCCCCAGCAAGCTCACAGAGTACTGTGGAAGGGTTTTACAGTTTCTCATGAATTACTGAATCTGAATCTTCAAATTCCAAATCTATCAATCCCCCAATGTTATTTTATGGTTTCTGTCAGTACATCATATATCCCTAATGTTGTTGATTGCAAGAGGGCTGGAAATCTCCCTTCACTTTCTTGCTCACCGTTAAGTGCTGTATTCATCTGAGACATCCTTTTTGACAAAAAAACTGAAAAGCCATTCAATGGCTTTCTGACTCAGTGCAGAGGGAGGGACTCCAAAACGCTGTTGCCACGTATCAGTAGGAACAAATTTAGTCATAAATTCAGCCAGGAAACTTTATAAATGAAGTTCAACAAATAAGTCATGAGAACCTAAAAATAAATGAAGGAACCACTTTGACGGATACCTTAAATTCTCTAATATCTAACAGTAACTGCTTGGAAAAGTAGCTAAACCAATGAGTGCTATACATCATCCTTTTTATCAGCAGTTAATGATGCTCCCATCTTTTCTAACACTCTAACTTCTAGAAGATTGTTTCTTGCAAAATTTTTTATAGACTATATAAAAGATATATAATAATATCCAAAGTTTACTTGGGGCTTTTCTCTAAAACTAGAACTATTTGAAACTGGAAAATGATTTGTAATGCTGACTACTTTAAAAAAAACTGGAAAATTTAAAATCTCTGACTTGATGATGTTAGCTATCTATGTTTAGCCAGTTATTCCAAACTTAAGAAGAAAGACATCTGCAAGGGAGATTGCAAGAAAAGTTGAGGCAAAAACTTCCGTAAGGGAACCTGAGGTACAAACTAATCAATGAAAAATGAGTGGTCCCCAAATTCTAATTAATTTTTTTTCAATTTAGAACCAAAAGGCTTTATGAAAATATATGGGGGAATATTAGGGCAGGAATGATCTAGTTTGGTCTCTTCAGGACTTATTCATTAAAAAAAAAAACAAAAAACCATTAGCCTATTTCTTCATCATGACCTCAATGTAGACTTGTACCCATCTGACTTGCCTTTATGATGAGGGGAGTCATTGCTAATCCTTATTGAAGAGCTCTAATGTCTTCCCTCCTGTGTCCCACTCACTATAGACAGGTGGTTTGGCCCAGAAACTGACTGTACCTAACTACTGATTTTCTTTTTCTGATTATAATACAGCTAGTGAAGAAATACAAAGAAAACAATTTTTATACAAAGGAATATGTTTATCTTGGATGGTTCAGTTCCCTAACACCAGGAGAATGGTGTTCTGCCTCAAGATGGGCAAGTCTTTGGAACAAAATCATTGAACATAACTTTTGCTCAAGAGAAATCTGGTGGAATATGTAGGGAGGGTCAAAGAAGATGAATTGCTATTAAATTCTCCGATGCTTCTCTCAGATACACAAGAACATTCTTATTTGAAAGATTTTTTTGTGGGTAAATAATATACTGTGCTTATATACATAAAATAATATGCTACGTAATATGTAGTATTACTATATATGCATATATCTCTTATATCAAAAGAGAAGACTAGATGATTTCCAATTTTTGTAAAACAAGCACAAATTCACACCGTTAAAAATAAATATTACTTTTGCAAGGAGAATAGATAAGACCTTTCTAAACCAACTAATAATAAAACTCTCGGCTTATAACAAACTCTTCTTTTTGTTTTTTTACAACAAACTTCTGAACTCTAATATTAATCAGATTTCTTTCACCCACAGAGTATTATGATTAATAACCCAGCATGACTTGTTTCCTTGGCAAATATTTATTGATCACGCACTATGTGACTGTCAACAAATTGATGAATTAAACCTCCCTTTGTAAGTCTGTTGTCAAAATTAATCATTTATTTGTTTAAATCAGATGTTTTATGTTGATTTATATGACTTGTGTTTGAGTAAGTAAAATTTGTTTTAAATTCACAAATCTTGCATTTTGCATGAGAGATCCAGGCTCAGCCAAGACATTATCAAGGCAAAAGATCTAATTTCAACTAATAAATATTCATTCATTTAAAAATAGTGCAGAAAAGAGACCCTAACTTGGGATGTTTCTAGTCAATCTTTCCTGGTTAGGAAATTCAACCTTCAGTTAGAAAAGAAATGTACACACACATACACGTGGACATGAATGCACATACAAGAATGCTCTCACAGACACATAATTTCTTGTAAAAATCAAAATTAATTTTGAATAATTAATTTAATTTAATTAATTAAAATTTCAAAATTAATTCTAACTTTTCATTGTTCCCTCTGCCTGAAATGCCCTTTCCACCTCATCTATGCGTTTTTTCTTCCTTCGGGCCTCAGGTAAATGTCACTTCCTCACCCAGGCCTCCAGGACAATCCCAATTCTGTTGTCTCCTGCCTCTCTCTCCCCTAATCGCCGACACCACCACTATACCGTTGGTTTCCATCATATCATTGATCCCAATTAATAATTACACAACATCTACTTGTTTTTGTATAGACTGCCTGTCTCCCCCCCGAGAAAGGCTCTGTGCTTATTTATTCACTACTATCCGCTTAGCACCTAGCACAGTGGCTGGTAGGCGGTGGTGCTCAACCTAAACTGTGGGATGAATGAATGAATTTGTCCCCCTTTGAGGATCCAACTGAGTGCTAGCAAGCAGTTTTTGCTACACATATTGATCATTCGCTGTGCTTTGTGTACACATTTAAATCCACTCGTATAGACGGAGAGAAGGGCAGACTTCCTAAGACTCCCTCGGCACTCCCCCAGGGTTTTCCAGATAACGGACAATGACTTTCATTAACTCAGCTCCTCCGTTATACGATTCACACACCAAAGTCCGGGTAGAGCGCAATTCCGAATCTAAAGAAAAGTTCCGCTTCGAGAGAGCCCCTTTTCCGAACCAAACCCATTTTAGAAGTCCCTGTGTCTCCAGATCTGAAAGGGTTATTATCTCTTTTCCACGGGAGCGGCCTAAAAAAATATCACCCTAGATCACCCTAGTCTGGCACAATATTAAAGCTCTTGGAGTCAGAGAGTGTGGGAACGTCTTACCTGGAGTCCTTTCTGACTCGTGCTTTCTCGAACGAAAACTCCGGGGTTTTATTGAGGTCATAGGTTCGGGTCGTTGGCTCCGCAGACACCCCAGCTTTCGCTCCCCTCCTGCTGTGGAGGGAGACCAATCCTGAGGCCTTGCGGTGGACCTCAAGAGGCACTTTCTCTGGGGAGGCCAGCAGCGGGCTTCCTCCCTGCATGTGCACCACATCCTGGAGCTTGTTCAGCTGGATGCACTTGTTCTGGAGCTCCTCCGTGAGCTCAGCAATGGCCACGGTCTGCTTGGACAGCTGTTCCCGCAGCTCCTTCAGATGGTATTCCCGCTCCTGGATCTCTGCCTCCTTCCGCCTCAGCTCTCGCTCCAGCTCTATCACCTTGCTCCGCAGCGCATGCGTACTGAGGTTCCCGGAGTGGCCATCCGGGTGCTTGGAATGCTTGGGTTTCACCGAACCATTTCCCATTTTGCTCGAGGACCTGAGAGAAGGCAGAGAATCGGGAGTTACCTGGTGGAGCTTCACCACCTCACAGCCCCCACCACTCCTCATTCCGATCTGTTTCATAAATAGAAACACAGCAGGTCATCACTATTTGATAAGCAATACATTCCCCTGCTTGCAGAAGAAAAGCTATCGACTGATTTCCTTCATCTCTCCATGAGTTGGCACTTGGTTTCATTGTTCCCTGTCTCTTTGATGGCACAGGTGTCACACCTAAGCATTTCGCACAAGTGGCCCAAGTTACCTGCTCTTCTCTCTGGTCATTCTCCCTGGACAGCTGTCAAAAGCCTCACAACAAAACTGCGATCTGGATGTCAGCAGGATCAAGATGCCACACAAAGGAGCAGCTACAGAGGCAGAGGCTCGGACATGTCACCACTCTCCCAGCTCCCCGTGCAGCTACAGCAAGAAACCATTCCCTGATTTAGAAAACAGCCCGTCTGCATTCCTCCGCCTGATGAGACTGAGCCTTGCTATTTAACTCTTTCCTCCTGCTCTGTGTACCTACTATGTTTTGTATTTCTGATAGTGCTCACTGTTAAAAAGTTCTGGGTGGCAGTTCCTAGAAAGTAAAACAGAGGTATGGGGATTCTTTGACATCCTTTACTTTATATCCTAAAGCCAAGGTTGTACGAAAATGATGATGTATGGTACAAGGCTCCATTCTTTTCCTATTAAGAATATGCTCAATGTAGGGACGACTGGGTGGCCCAGTTGGTTAACCATCTGCCTTCAGCTTGGGCCGTGATCCCAGGGTCCTGGGATCGTGTCCCACATTGGGCTCCCTGCTCCGTGGGGAGCCAGCTTCTCTCTCTGCCTGCCGTTCCCCCTGCTTGTGCTCTCTCTGACAAATAAATAAACAAAATCTAAAAAAAAAAAAAAAAGAATATGCTCAATGTAGGCCCCAAAGTGAGTCCCTAATCCAGCAGAGCAGATCTCAGGCTGTGATACATAAATCAGGATTATCAGAGTGGTTTTAGTTGATTCAGAATTTTTTGTTGTTGTTGTTCAAAGCTATGTGCTATTTTAACATTCCTTATAAATACAAATAATTGGCCCCACAAATTGTGATTTTGTTGATATTATTGCTTAAGTGGAAGATAAATTAGGTATCAGGTTTACTGAATCAATTCAATGAAAATTTTTTAAAAATCACCTGCAGATAGTAAGTGCACATGAGCAAAACCAAAAAAGAGAACTTGAAAGGGTGAGTTTGGAAAATACTGCTTTGATTAATTCCCGTAAGGTTTAAGTCTTTTCAGGCTACCTATTTAAACTTCATACTTCCGCGTGTGTACTTCTTAACAGCCATAACTCAAGAAGCATTACAACACCTGTAAACTAAGTTTAAATAATCTCTTGTTATGTAATACCCAAAGAGCTAGATGACATTTTGTAGTTACATAAACCACACATTCTTGCCTCCTCTCCCTCCAAATTTCAAACTCAAGGAGAAATGAAATGCTCAGACTGATTTCACTAGCTCCCCCAGAATAATCGTGACCTCTACAGCAATAAAGGCATAGATGGAAAGATGTAAAACAGCCTGTAAGTCTCAAGCAGATGCAACCAAATAGCCAAGGCACATCGCCTAAGATGGATGGCGCGAACAGAAAATAAACGTACTTATAGAAGAAATCTTGCAATACCCAGATATTCCTGGTAGAATTCAGGTTCAAAGTAGTCATTAATAAACATTAGCCTCCAGAGAACTGCCTTGCTCTGTTGCAGAGATGTGGCAGGTTTAACCTTTAAGTTTCTCTTGACTTGGCAGCATTTACTATTCTTATATATTAAGAATATATAAGAAGGTTGAGGAGACTAGAATTCAAAGAGGTGGCCCTGGACACCCTTGTATCCAAATAAGCAATTCAGAAGATGTTAGACTGGGACCTAGGAATAAACTTGAATGCAATTCTGCATGGTAGGCATGAGATGGGGGCTCCCAGAGGTATCTTAAATTAATGTGTGCACAAGTTTTTAACAACCAGCAGTGAGATCTCTCATCTCCTAGACATGCTTTTTAGGTCCATGGACAAGCATTCCCAACCAAGGCAGGATGGACGGAGGGGCATGGTCAGAGGAAAAGGGATTGCCTTATAAAGAAAAGTGAACATAAAAACTTAAAATATAACATTAATTGTTCTTTATTCAAAGAACGACTGTTTGCTAAGACCTAACTCAGTGTCGTGTACTATATCAGGGGCATAACTCCATGAATTTGCAATCAAATTGGACAGAGAAAACAGTTCCAGCATTCTAAATATGAAAAGGCTTAGAATCATTTTTGCTCTATGTATGGTATTCAAAATATCCTGTTTCAATCCAATAATTTTACAAACTTGAAACACAATTAGGCAGGTGTTAAATTCTCCCAAAACACCAACTCTTCTCTGGTTTTAATGAATACGGCTTAGATGCTGTGTAAATCTTTCAAGCTATTTAGAATTCTAAAGAGGGGTGAAATGAACTCATCTTTCAAGTAACTAATTTAAGATATGTAAGTAAGTTACTGAATGGCTCAATACTAAGTCTGATTTCTTAGTTCACTCATTTAAATTTTGTTGTCCCTCAAGCCAAGGCTTCAAGTGCCTGGCTTCACCAAACCTAATTAGATTCACTCTGTTTCCTATATTAGTCACTAAGATAGATAAGCTATTTCTCAAAAATGTATCACTAGCCACAAGGAGAATATATTGTTAGAAACATAGGATGTTGCTCCATCGATCTAGCAACTATAGGTTATTAGAGTCTTTCTTAGAATCAGAGGGCAAGACATGATGTAGTAAGAAATGAGCTTGGAGACGAAGATCAGTATTTAACGTGAGCAAAGGAGTCAGGCCAGCCAGGGTAGGAAGACAACCTGCCCTTTCCTGGCTGTGTGACCTTTTACAAATAACTTAGAATCCTGTTTTCCAATCTAGCAAACAGGTATAATTATATCCAGCTCATAGGGTTATTATGAAGATTATGTTTATAACGTATCCTGTACAATGTTTGACACACAGCAGGCACCAAGTAGCCCTTACAATGTGTGGCTGGAGACAGGCAGTGAGTATCTTGGTGGGAGGAAACTCCCAGAAGAGATCACTGCTGGGTTGGACAAAGTCTAACATGTTGGATGTCTTCCAGACAAGAGGTCTCTAAAGGTGCCAATTATTCCCTGGGGTGAGGGGAACCTTACTCTGCCTGGCTTGTCTCTTCCATTAAGAAAAGAAATGATTCAGGGGCACCTGGGTGGCTCAGTCGGTTAAGCATCTGACTGTGGCTCAGGTCATGATCCCAGGGTCCTGGGATTGAGCCCCGCGTCAGGTTCCCTGCTCAGCGAGAGCCTGCCTCTCCCTCTCCCTCTGCCTGCCGCTCTGCCTACCTGTGCTCTCTCTCTGTCTCTCTGTCAAATAAATAAATAAAATCTTTAAAAAAAGAATAAAAGAAAAGAAATGATTCTGGAACAGCCTGGGCAACCTTCCCTGATAAAGGAAGCTCCACCTAAAAATGGAGACCAGAAAACTTCATAAATGACCCAGCCCAGGTTCCAGGACTGAAGGACCCTGCAAGCTTTGTAATTCCCTGCTGCCTCTACCCATTTTCACATATTGCAATGTAAGCCTTCAACCAAAAGGGCCCACCTAAGTATCTTGGAAGACAATAAAAAAAAAAAAAAAAACATGGCTCACTGTGAAGGCAGTATTCTTCTGTCTCCAGAAACAGGCAAGAGGAATAGAATGAGTTGTAGCATTGAGCAAGAAGAGAAGAAAAATACACACCATTTGGAATTATGATTACATTAATTTGATCACCACTTCGGAAACATCATATACAAGAAGTAACTAGAAAAGACACAGGAGAAGCAGAACTGCCTGCGAAGGCTCTTGCAGGTGGATGAACACCTGGTAGACAATGTGGGAGGAATTAGGCCTTGTTGTCTGTTTTTCCTCCAGGCCTAAAGTAGTTTGAAACCAAAATCTTGGCTCTGATCTAGATAATATCTATTTCTCTCTCTCCCCATCTGGAGTCTTATATGAATACATTTATCTGTAAATATGGGAGATGGTGGTATGGTGCTGGCTAAGGTGACAGAGCCAGAGTCTCAATCCGAGCACTTCACTTAGTATATATCTGCCCTTGGGTATGATTTTGGGCTTGAGTGTCAATAATAGAATAGATGGACAGACCCATAGATAGAGCCATGGGCAGATAAAATCACTATGCATATCATGAATGCATAGGGTCAAGTGAGATAAGCTGTATTAAACATTATTATTATTATTACTGTTACCATTATTTACTCAACAAAATAACTCATCTTAGTAGAAAAACTTACTGATCAAAAAACATGTACTAAACGAACACAATATTATAAGAGAACAAAGTCAGTGGTGATACAACCAGACTTCAAGACTTACTATAAAAAAAAAAGACTTACTATAAAGCTGCAATAAACAAGACAGTGGTATTAGTGAAAGAATAGACAAATAGATCAATGGTACATAATAGAGCTCAGAAATAGACTCACACAAATACAGTTAACTGACTTTTGACAAAGGAACAAAAGCAGTTCAATGGGGAAAGGATAGTTTTTTAACAAACTGGACACACACACACACAATCTAGACACAGATCTTATATCTTTCACAAAAATTATCCTCAAATGTATCAAAAACCTAAACATAAAACACAAAACTATAAAATTGTTAGTAGACAATAGAGGCAAAATTCTAAGTGATCTTGGGTTTGGTGATGACTTTTTAGATAAAACACCAAAAGCACAATCCATGAAAGGAAAAAAATTGATAAGGTGGACTTCATTAACATTTAAAACATCTGCTCTGCAAAGACACCATTGAGAGAATGCAACAAGCCACAGACTGGGAGAAAGCATTTGCAAAGCACATATCTAATAAAGGACTAGTATCCAAAATATACAAAGAACTCTTAACGCTCAACAGTAGGAAAACAAACAGCCCAGTTGAAAAGTGGGCAAAAATAGGGGGTGCCTGGGTGGTTCAGTCAGTTAAGCAGCTGCCTTCGGCTCAGGTCATGATCCCAGGGTCCTGGGATCGAGCCCCATGTCAGGCTTCCCGCTCAGCGGAGAATCCGCTTCTCCCTCTCCCTCTCCCTCTCCCCCTGCCTGCCACCGTGCCTGCTGTGCTCTCTCACTCTCTCTGTGCCAAATAAATTAATAAAATCTTTTTTTAAAAAGGGCAAAAATATAAACAGATATCTCACCACAGAAGATACACATGTGGAAAATAAGGATATGAAAAGATGCTCAACATTATATGTCATTTGAGAATCTCAAATTAAATCAATAGTGAGATATCACCATATACCTATCAGAATGACCAAAAGCCAAACACTGACAATACCAAATGCTGGAAAGGATGTGGAGCAGCAAGAATTCTCATTCATTGCTGATGGGAGTGTGAAATGATCCAGCCACTTTGGAAGATGGTTTGGGAGTTGCTTATAAAGCTACAAAATTCAACTGATATGAATATGTATGTCCACACCAAAACCTGCACATGGATATTTGCAGTAGCTTTATTCCTAACTGCCACAACCTGGAAGCAATCAGGATGTCCTTCAGTGGAAAGACAGATAAACTGTTGTAAACCTAGACAATGAAATATTATTCAGGGTTGAAAAGTAATAATGATCGAGCCATGGAAAGACATGGAGGAATTTTAAATACATATTGCTAAGTGAAATAAGTCAATCTGGAAAATCTACATACTGCATGATCCCAACTATATGTTGTGCTGCAAAAGACAAAACTTAGAAATATTAAAAAGATCAGTGGTTGCAGGGACTTGGGGAGAGGGAGAGAGGAATGAATAGGAGGAGCACAGGGGAATTTTAGGGCAGTGTACCTACTGTGTGATGCTGTAATGGTGGATACACATCTTATATATTTGTCCAAACCCACAGAATGTACGATACAAAGAATGAACCCTATTGTAAACTAGGTACTTTAGTTAATAATCATGTATTCATCAATTATAACAAATGTGCTGCACTGTTGCAAGATGTTAAGAATAGGGGACAGGAGGAGGGGGCAGGTGAGCATATGGAAACTCTCTGTAATTTTCACCTAATTTTTCTATAAACCTAAAATTGTCCTAATAACTAAAGTCTATTAGTTAAAAAAAAAAAAAAGAACGTGTATTAAGGAGTGTATGCAAAAAAGCTGACAGCATATCCAGGAAACAGGCTGAAATGCATGATGGGAGAAAGAGAGTGATGAGCATAGAAAAGTGTAGTGCAGGAATAAGATGCTGAAGAATGTCATATGCCACGTTATGGTATCTGCATTTTAGTGTAGGTCAAGTTTTTTTCAAGTTATATGGTCAGATTTGTCCTTGAGAAAAATAATTTCCTTGGCCATAAATATGGAATGGAGTGAAAAGAGCTTAGAGGGAGAGAAACAAAGTAAGAGGTTATTGCACCAATCCAAGTAAAAGGTGATGAGGACAGGATAAGGCCAAAGTCCCAACCCCATTCTCATGTCTTGAACTTCTTGAACTCAAGATAAATCTGCTTACATGGACCAACTCCATGGTAGCCAGAAGAGAAAACCATGATCATCAGGGATTTGGCAAAAGCTATGGCTATAGGTAACTGTGCAATTTCCTTCCCTTCAATAAATCATGAAAAGTATAATCGATTCTTTTTTTATGATATGGGTAGTTTACCATGAAATCAGAGGAGTGAATTACACAGATTTTTATAAATAGTCTTCTAAGGCTATATGAAACTGATGCATTTGGTGCTATCCTTAATTTGTTTCACCAAAGTTCTTTTATAAAATAATTAACCATCACTAAATATATAAATCCCTGCTTCTTCTCCCTGAAGCAAAGCACACGGAGCTGCCATTGTGAGAACAATTCAATTCCCTGTCGAAGCCACAATTAAAAGCATCTGCCCATCTTGTGACTGATGACCTGGGGCTCAGTTTCTAATCTACTGCTTGTTTTCTCTATCCATAGCATATTAGTTTGGAGAGTAATCTTCTTTGTCAGGCAGTCATATGAGCTTCAGTTTCAGCTACTCCAGAGGTTGACTATCCCTTTGAAGTGCCTCTCCACCCAAGAGAATGTTCATGGTGAATTTTACAAATGACACATATCCTATATTTTCACTGTCAAATGTGGTGGCATTCCATTCAGCTATTTTTGGGTGCTAGAGTATCAGAGAGACAGGCCAAGAGAGAGAAATATAATTTTATAAGTGTAGGTCAGTAGATTATAGCTGATGGAATTTGAGTGGTGATAAGAAGAAAGAGAACAAAGATTTGGAAATTTCCATTGTGGCAACTGGGTAAGAAGTGATGTCATTAACCAAAAGGAGGAGCAGATTGGAGGGATGAGATGATGAGTTTAATTTTGGACATGCTCAGTTTGAAGGACCTGTGGAAATTAATATGGAGGAGCTCAGTAGGCAGTAAGACATGAGGGACTAGAAAATCAGGAACAGGGAGCTGAAGATATGTCTTTGATAGCCTAAGTAGAGGCCGAAGCTGAAGTAGTAGATGAGAGTGCTCAGGAGACTGGCAATGAGGAGAGGAAAAGTGTCTAGGCCTATATGACATGTGAAAGAAAAACTAGAGATACGGTAAGAAGAAGCTATTGCTTTGGTAAAAGTGAGAGGAGGTATGAATGGATTCAGAGTAAAAAATGAGAATGGTGGGAGGAATCCTGCAGGGGCTAAATCCCTCAATGTGGTGAATAAATGGGTGTACATAGAGGGAAATAAAAAAAAAGAATGATTCCAATATTTTGATCTTAGAAGGCTTGGAAGAAGGTAGTACTATTAACTCATTCATTCATTCAAAAATGAAGAGAGCACCGTCTATGGTCTGGGTACTGTGACACTGACTAAAGTCAGGGGAATGAGTGGGCTTCATGGAGACAGTAATGAAGCTGAATTTATCTAAGTTGAGTATGAGGTGCCTACATGTCATCAAGTTAGAAATGTCTTGAAGATAGTAGCAAAAAAGAAAGGTCAAGGCAAGAGACTGCTTTACAGAGGTAAGAATTTGAAGTCCCATTGTAGATGAGATCACTGGGAGAAAAGAAAGGAATGCCTCCATCATTATATATGGACATCTAGATAATACCTATGGATCTTATTCATAGAAGAAGAGGAGGAGGAGAAGCAAATAAAGATGGGGAAGAAATAGTTGTACAAATAAGAGATCTAGGAAGAGTATCATAGAGACCAGGAAGATAAGATTTTCAAGAAGTGAGCAGGCTGCTATTTACATCCCACAGACAGACCAAAGCAAATTAAATCAGAGGGAAAAGCACGGAATTTAGCCTTTCACACAAGAGTTGGGATAGAAATCTGATTACAAAGGACTGTGGGAAGAGCTGACGTTGAGAGTAGGGCCTTCAAGATGGTATCTTGGTTCATGAAATGGATTTTTAGAACAGTGGAAGCTTGAGAGTATTTGTAAGCCCAGAATACTGAACCAGCGAAGAGAGAGAAAATGAAAACATAGGAGAAGAGGGAATAATTGATAGGAAAATGGCCTGGAGGAAGCAAGACAATATGGGATCAAAAGACCTGGGCAACATCCAAGCAACATATGCCTTCACTGTGTGGTGAATTAGCCTCACTTGTATGGATTCCAGAGGACTATAGTTAAGTATTTCACATGGAACAGAGAGATCTCTGTGCACCGTCGTTTATTCTCAGTTACACAGTGTCTCAGTGCAGACAGAACGGCCTCTAATTCTCCAAAGAGAATTCTCCACCATATTAGCTCATACTCTCCTGTGAACTAAACAGGAGTGCTGGCAACAGATACTGTATGCTATGTGGGATGATCACCTTGCCCGGGAGTAAAACAGAAACTTGCAAAGAAAAGAGACTATAATTTCTAAAGAACTGGGGAGGGGAGGGGGGCCAGAAGCTTATGTTGCTCCCTTCCTTTATGAAAAAAGCCCCTAGGAACTTGCAGAACAAGGTGAAGATCAGGGCACCAAAGCTACTATCAGACTTTTCTACCTGTTAATTCTGCCTGAGTTGTTCCTTTCTATTCTCATCTCTGGCCTCAACTGCCATCCATTTGCAACCTAGCTCTTCCCAAACTTGAACCCATTGCTTTCTCTCTCATCCCTTAAGTAGATGATTTATTGTTTTTGTTTGCTTGCTCTTGTTTCTTCATCACTAGGAAATACAGAGCAAGCAACGTCAAAGCGCCTCACGGTGCTGGGAGTGCCACAGAACACCCACACAAGTTTACAAGGACTCATGAAGTCCTCGCGCGAGTACTCGGCTCCCAGCAGCTACCCAGGGCTGGCCGAAGCCAGGAGCGCAAGCCCTGACAGCACCGCCAAGCCCCCAGCCCGGAGCGACAGTCTTCAAGGCTGCTCTGCTCGGGGCTCAAGGAGTGACAGCCCCGAAGAATCCCCACTGGGGCCGAGCTCTCCCCTCCCGCCCCTAGCCAAGCTTCTTAAAATCGAGTAGCCTTCCCTCACCTCCAGGAGCTCACAAAAGGCTGCCACACCAAGCGAACGCAACGCGAGCACACGTCCACACACAGCACATGCACGAGACCGGCGGGGTGTGGAACGGAGGCGCACAGCGCGCAGTGCACGCACAGCATGCACACGCGCGCACCCCGACCCCGTCCCTCCCTGCGCTCCCCCGGCGCCCAAGCCTCCCTCTCTCGAACCTCACCAGACAGCCGGGTAACTTTCCAGGTGCGCAGCTTGTCACCTTGGCGCCGCGGCCCCTGCGTCTCCGCGTCCTCTCCCGCGCCGCCCTCCCCAGCCGCCTGCGGAGCACCAGCCGAGCGCAGGGCAGCTCTGCGAGCCCGGGCCGTGCGCAGGGCGCGCAGCGCAGGCCCGGGGCTGCAGCCGCCGCTGCTCGGGCTACGTGGGCTCCGGGGGCGCGGGCGAGCGCGCTGCGGGCAGGAGCTGCGGCGGCTTGGGTGCTGCCGCCTGGCTCCTCGGCGGGGGCCGGTGCAGAGCAGACACGCAAGGAGGGAGGGAGGGAGGGAAAGAGGGAGGAGAGGAGGAGAAGGAGGTGGGGGAGGGTCAGCGGGGCTACTGCGTGGAAGAGCAGGGAGCCGGCTTCCCAAAAGGTGGGGTCACCCGCGCGCGCGCCCACACTGGCCGGAACCTTTGCTCCGGAGACAAGCTATCCGGAGATAGCCGCAGGCTGCACTTTATACCCCATACCCTCCAGAGTGAGGCAACTTAAGTAGGGAGATAACATCGTGGTTGTAAAGCATTTTTTTTTTTATGTTATTATTTCTATTTCAAGTGTGTGGGACGAGGGGAAGAGGAAAGTTCAGGGACGTGTTCATCTTTTCCTTCCCCTCCCTCTCCCCCCACCCCTCCAGTCTGTTTTCCCTGCAGGCTCTCTCCCACCTCGCCTTCCCTCCCAGAGCGCAAACAGGGGCACACATCCTGGACGTGTTCTCCTCGGTCACACCGATGCCCTTCTAGAAGACATGTGACCCCAGAGGGGCTAGGAGACGCGCTCTTCCCTGACTCTGGAGCCATAACTTGCATCTAGTCTGCCAATTCACATGATGCCGGGGCAGTGGTTGGAACCGGGTTTTAAGGGACAGAGATTATACCTTCGGAATCTGTAGGTCCTTGAGCAGGGAGCTTTCTTGATCACCCAGGCTGGTGTTGCTCTCTCAGTCGCCTTTTGATTACATGTTTTGTTTTGTTTTTTTCCCACCCTGAGGCTTGCATTATGGTTTTCTAAATATATAACCCCCACCGCATTATTTGCTGTGCTCTGGAGTTGTAAGATCTTCGTGTGGCTTTCCCCCTTTCCTCCTGCCCCCAGAGGAATTTCACTGGCAAGTCCACCAAGGACAAGGGCAGTTTGTGTGTTGAGGAATGGGAAGTACAGTGAGGTTTTATTCTTCCCGGTGCCTCTAGAGAATGTCGGAACCCAACTCTCCGGGGTTTTAAACCACATGGTGGCAGTGGGACTCATGTAACACTGGTCTGCACTAGTACATACATAAACTTATATAGAAATGAGGCCCATGGAAGATATGTTGAATGGGGCCATTACATTTCAGAGGAGGAAGAATGTAGTCCTGTTTGTTTTTGTGCTAACTGAAAAAAAAATAAGCAGAGGTGCAAAATACTTTTTCATGAACATATGCTGGAGTCTTTCCATTTTATGCAGGCCTTCAAAATAGCCCAACTAGAGGAGATGGTCTGGGGAAGGATTCCACAGGGAAAGGAAAAATAATTAAGTCATCGTTAAGGTCACTGTAATCATGGACTTCTAAGTCAATAGAATGGATTTTTATGAACAGTGTAACAACAACAAGAAGGAAATCAGATTTTCAAAGTCCTTTCATTCATTTAGTCCATGGGGGGGGGAGGTAGATAGTGGATTGCTAATTAATGGGTCCGCATTTTTAATAAAATAGAATAAAAATATCGGAGTACATCATGCATAGTAAGTAAATATGCTCTGCATATCTTTCGTTTCAGTTAAATATGTGTATATTGGGTCAACCATGTAGTATGTATTTTCTTACTGTTCCTCTAGGCAAAAGCTTGAAAACCACAGATATATTCCTGCCGCCTGGGGTCACCCATCTAGTCAGTTTGAAGGGGAACGTAAGCTCCTTCCCAGAGATCCTGTCTTCTGGCAACAATACCATGCTGAGCCGTAAAAAAAAAAAAAAAAAAACAAGGAGGATGGCAAGGAGGAGAAGGAGAAAAGCGACCATTCTTTGAGCCTTTGTTCATTCTTTCAACAGCTGTGCTTAAGCAGCTCTTATGCCTCAGGTACAATCCGGAAATTCAGTGGTGAACAAAATCAACATATGATCTTGGCAACTCAGAATCTACAATCCAGTGGGGGAAACAGACATCACACCCATAAACACAGAAGTAATATATATGTAAAAAGTGCCATGAAAGAAAATATGATAGGAGAGGAAAAAAAATACGGGGTTATAATCTAGATGCAGGAGGCTGCAATTAATAATTAACCTAGTTTAAAATGTCTTAAATGATAAGGAAATTTACTGTTTCATATGGCTTGAAGTCCCAAGGTTGAGAGGCTCTCACTGGTAAATTCAGCACCTCAGTGATGTCAGGGTAGGCCTGGGCTGTTCTCTTATTCCCCCTGCCGGCTCCAACGTGCCAACTCTGTACCTGGGTCTGTCCCCACCCCATTGTGGTCCCAGGATGGCTGGAGCAGCTGCTGCTACGACAGAGAATCCTGACAATGCCCAGTAGTATTGGAGTGTGTCTCTTCTCAAGAGCTCACGGAAGCTCCCAGCCAGCCTCCTCTCTCTTGTCCTTAGTCCAGACTGAGTCTCATGCCCACACCTAAACGCTGGCCATGGAGGGAGGACTACCAAAATTGACTTAGGCTCTTCAGAATTTGCCCTGGAACTTTTCAGAATCGCATTCTTTGAGGGGTTGATACCCAAACAAAAAGGAGAAAGTGGCAATGGATGTTGGGTAGGCAATCTAGAGTCTGGTAGAGGGGCTCGGGGATGACTCCTCTGAAAAAAAATAACATTTCATTATAGGCTGAGTAAGAGTTAGCAAGGAGGAGGAGCCTTCGGGCAGAAGTAATTGCAGGTGTGGTCTGAGTGCCACATGTTAAAGGCATACATAGAATTTCTCATTTACTATATCGAAGAGGGAAACCAACCTCAGGAAGCAAGCTCAGAGAGTTAAATAACTTGATCAAGTTCACAGAACTACTAAATTGCAGAGCCAATCTATCTAATTCCAGAGCCTAAATGTTGACTTCTCCTTCTACTGAGAGAGGGAGAAGCCAGATTCCCCTGGCCTTCCTGGTCATGGACTGAGGAACACAGCCCCCTCCAGGACTCCTCTGCAAGGTTTCTCTGGGCCTGCTGGTGGTGCGGGACGTGTATTCATGAATAAACCTTTTCCCACTGGGTATGCCTCTGTTCCACTGGGTATCATGGTCTCTGCCAAACACTGTCACCAGAGCACGAGGATTACCGTGGTGTCAAGCCCAGAGGTAGCCTGTGGAGATGTGGAGGGTAAAATGCAGGTCTTTGCATTACATGCAGTTCGGGGAAGTATCCAAGCAGCCCTGAATTTTACAAAGTTCTCCTGATTTTTCCTACTTTCTCACTGCATCCAAGGGACTGAGCTGAAAACAGATCACAGTAGTGCTGAACACAGGCTCCCAAGCCCCTGCGTGACTAAGTTCTGGTACCAGCTCACCCAGCCTGAATCCCTGTTTGTTTGGGATCAAGTGCCTCACAGGAGGCTCCATAGTTGTCCTGGCACACAGACTTTCTGTCAGGTCACCCCATCAAACCAGCCTTGGTGCTCACTGCGTGTAAGCCCCAGCTCCAAGACTGCCCAGGCTCAAGCTGAGCTCTCTGCTATGAATCACCAGAAGATCTGAGGTTGGGATAGGGTCAAAACCACTGTCCAGTTTCTCACTATCTCTCTGGTTTTGCCCCCCTCCCTCCTTTCCTCTTTCATTTGTCTGCTGGCTTGTTTATCTTATTGTGCTGACCCCCTAGGCAGTCATTTCTGTTGCTCAGGCTAGAACCTTAGGTCGCTGTGCTATTCATTCAGTTTAGCTTTGCCAAACCCTGACCTGGGACCAAACTACTGCTGGCCTTTGGTGTTCCTGCCCTCCAGAGTGCCAGCATCACTAGATATGGTAATGAAATGGGGCCAACTGATTGCATTGCAGTTTTTGTCTCCAACCTCCCTGCAGCCAACAATCCCGCTCTTCACCTCAAAGCCATTTATTTCTTCCATGATGTCTCCACGGAGGCTGCAGGATAGTGGCTCTCTCCTCTAGGATCCCACAGCAGCGTGTTACCCCAAGTCACAAATACCTGTTAACTGTCGGTCTCGCTTACTGGACTTTAGCGCAGGGACTTGGCAGTTTCAATTCATACATCTTCAGAACATACATAGCTCAAATCTTTAATATGTAGAAAAAAATCAGAACATTCCACTTTTCAATCTACTGCCTCGATTTTCTAAATCAATCAATCTTTTTTTTTTTTAATTGCTTCCCAAGATACTAGAGACTTGAGAAGGAACCCTGTACTTAGTGTCTCTCCTTCCTCGGTGGAAGCTCATTACTAATGTCACACAATCTTCCAAGCCCAGCTCTGGGAGCACCATTCTCCATTCCACTCTCGTGTCCTCAAGGGGACAGTGGCCTCTCATTTGCCAAATCCCTCCCTGCTGATTCCTGATGGAGAGGAGAGTGAACCCTGTGGGCATGAACCTGGAGCATATTTGTCTGGTTTCCCAGTCCACCAGGCAGCTGCCAGAGCCTACATGTGTCCCGCACTTGGAACTAACCAGTCTCTTGCCCATGCTCTCCTTGAAAGTCCTCCCTCCTCCATCCCACTTCCACTCATTCTGTTTGCCCAGGATTCTGTCCTTACTCCCTGCTTCCCTCCCTCTCCCCAGCTCTTTCTCTTTCTCCTCATAGCTTCACTCATTACTTCTAGGTGTATGCCTTCATAACTCCTACAAGACTGCACTTTATCTCAGCCCTTTAATGCTGTTTGTCACTCTCTACTTTATTATTGTTATCTCTCGGCATTCCTTATCACCCCAGATTCACTGTAAATACCTGGAGGGCATAGTTCATCTGCTTCATCTTTGCTGTATCTCTCACAGCACCCACAGCAGGCCCAAATCCTAGGACAGAGTGAGCTATGATTTACTACCCAGAAGAATTATGCCTATGTTTCCACAATTCTTTTTTTTTTTTTTTTTAAGATTTTATTTATTTATTTGACAGACTGAGAATAAGCAGGGTGAGCGGCAGGCAGGGGAAGAGGAAGAAGCAGACTC